TTCTGTTTCTGTGGCAACGTTTTCTGCGGAGGAGAAAATTGTGACGAAGACGCCACAAGAACTGCGAAGGGCCGATCGAGCACTCTCTCTCTGTCGTTCTTCCTGTATTGCAATATACGAATACGTTCCTGTTATAGGGCCACATAGCGCAACTCTACAAACTACTAGGCTCAATACTCGCTCACAAAAACCTGCAGGGCCGCAGGACGATCGGCTCCTCCCGATTGGCTGTTCAGGATACGACGAGGTATATAAATCCAGCATCAGCTTCAGACAACAAACAACAAAGAGCGACCGCTATCACTGCAGTAGCCTTATAGCTGTCGTTCCTGTTTTGGTCATACCCGTAGCGTCCGTAGAAGTTACACGATCACTACCAGCACTAGCGGCATTGCGGAATCGATTGGCGATGGACGCTGAAACTATCCAAGGCCGAAGCAAGGAGGGGCAGACGTCGCCGGCAGCAACAAAGCAAACAGGCGATCAGCAACCGCGCACTTGCAGCGGCAAAGGGGTAATGGGGCAATTGGCCGGCCATCGAGAAGGGCCTTTATTATGGCATCGACAACTGCATCAACAACAGCATCGCGCAGCCAGTACACCGCGACGAACGATCGTTGAACGAATGGAAGAATCCTGAGTCATCATCATGTACGCCATTATTGGCCCCCGTCGGTGGTGGCGGTCGACTTTGTCGTTTCTGCCGCCGTAAAGGACATCTTCAACGGTAGCATTCGCAGTGGCTGGGCAGTGACACTGGTGTCAGGCCAAGCAGTGGCCCCTGATCACTCCTGGCAGGACTCTCGCGTTAGCGCGTCCCGAGCCATGAGTGGCGAGGCGCTTTGGTAAAACGGGAAGGAGGGGATGGGGGGAGCGTGGCAACGGTATGAGCGGTGCTGTAGTCAAAGCGCGTGGGTTGTGCCGGTAGCTTGCCGCTGGTGTTGCAGCTACTACTGGTTAATGACCATCGCCCTATGTGTATTATTACTAGTTCTACTGCTGCCGCTGTGTACAACTAGTGGTACTATGGCGTCGTCAACCTTTGATTTACCGAAGACGTCGACAAGGAAAACAACTGAGGTTGACCATCGACCCACAAGCCAACTAAGCGTTGTTATTGGTGAGGACTTCATTTGATGGTCGACCAATCGGTCGGGCGATGATGGCCGCTAACTGGGTTACGCAGGCAGGACGCAGCGAAGGGCCAACAAATTACGAAGCCGGTGGCGCTCGATTAAGTAGTTGAACAGCAATCAGGCACAATAACAAAAAACATACGTATAAGAAAAGCAGATTTGTCGGTCTTCGTCAATCCGCCGGTTTGTAACATGGCTTTTTTCGATGTGCTGCTTATCGATAATCAAATCGAATGTTAAGACAGTGACAACAATTACGCGTCGAAGTCCTGCTTATTTGGGGGGTATGTCCTCAGGACGATAGCACTGTAGATGTTTCAGCAGCGACAACGTACGTTTTACGTAACGCTGGCGTAGTTCGTGAAAATGAAGTCAGTTTTACTAAGGGGCAGAAGGGAGCTGAATAGCCGTCTTACTATAACTTTGAATCTTCTTTTGTTTTTCGCATACGACTCGTTTATTTGAACAACCCGACTAAATAATATTCTTTATTGTCTCAAGCCAACGAGATGGGTTCGGAAGTTCTTCGTTGCGCGCTCCATCTCCATCTACCGTTAATCTATTGGCTTTTCCGGTCCAAACCGCGCAGCCATAATGGGATTCCGTTACGTAACGTCCAGCCTGCGGTAATGCTGCTACGATCGTCGTCATACACAGCCTACAACTTCTACGGCAGATAACGTAAACGACAAGCAAACAGAGCGGTAACACATTCATTAGTGTCAACCGGCCATACCTCGGATATTAGGCAGCTTTGTCTGTTCCTTTCTACCGTAAAAGTAAGTTCCAACGCCGATAGGTCGACATTTGTAACACAAGTGTCTGCCTGAAAAGTTGGCGTTACATTATTTGTCAAAAAAACAACCGCCAGGAACCGGCAGTGGCCTGACTCAAAGCGGTACCGATCGCGTGGCGCTGTTAACGAGACGCAAATTGTATTGTTGTCATTATCTAACTGGGGAAAGTTTTGCATGGCTTAATAACATGATGCGACGCTGCTGGCATTTCAAAGACATTGAAATGGATAATGGTACAAGCCGGTCCCATCATTTGCGGTGCTGCTACCCCTGCTGCAGCAGACGGGTGCCTTAAACACAGCGGGGATGAAAAAGACAATCTGGGAAAAAAACGCTAGAGAATAAAGAAGACAGGCACACACGGTCCAATACGCATTGATGTCTATTATGAACCGTATAATAGCTGATATAGCAACTGGACATGTACCAATAATAATCGACCATTATAATGAAAGTGATCAGCCCCTTCTGCTGAGACAAGATGTAGGGGCGCAGGGTATGTGCCATTATCAAGATAGGCCACCCAGCGGCCAAAATTTCCAAACGACCGATCGACAGCCTCTCGTAGGTCCTTTTGACGATTCATGATGCTCATGCTTGTCGTCCTGCTGCGCCATGACCGTCACCACACCACGTTTGTACGGCGATGGACTAGCAGCAACAGTAGCGGCGGCGGCCGCTGTCTCGTGGATAACATTTAGCCGCTAGTGGTCACTGGCGTTCGGCCACTGACGCCCCACAACAACGAAAAAAAAAAAGATGCATAGTGCAACGACAACGGCGAAACGGAGAATAAAGGGCGCCAAAACGACGAAGACTACATCAATGAAAGCAAAAGCGCAAAAAAGCGGCAATGCTGACGACGGCGCGATGCTGAACGAACAAGATGACGGCATGCTCATCGTCGTCATCCGATGAGGCAACAAAAATAGCGTTGCAACAATAATTACAACAATAGCAACGATGATAACGAATCAAGCACACACAAACCGAAGGCCGGACAAAGTTGGTCAGGAACAGTAAAGTGAAAACGACTTTAGTGCCACTGGTTGTTATAGTCAAAAATAGAGCGTTGCGCCGCTGCCGTCGCCGCTGGACCTTACAAGGCCAACTAATAGTAAAATTTAATTGCTGGCCCGCAAGCACGTCAACGCTAAAGGGAAGACAAAGAAGAAGCATACGTAACCGTCAAATGCTTGGGCAGGCGAAGAAGAAGATCCTTTTCGATGAATGGCAACGACCGCGACCAGTGCCTGGCGGTTGGTACCGGTAACATCGAAGAAATCGAACGTCTGTCGAACCCCTGTGGGCCTCCAGCGACATTGACAATGGAACGACGATGCAGCAATAAAAAATAGTAACGGACACATTAAATATACGTCAGGCAGAACGCAACTAGAACTGGTAGGCAAATGCCAATACGAGAAAGATAGAAAATTAGATGAACGTTTGACATTGCCTCGATACGTTTCAGCACATAATTACGTATGCAGCAGTATATGGATAGTGTGCTCTAAGTCAGCTACACGAGCGTAGGAAAATAAGAGGTTCAATTTTGCTTGTTATGACGTGCGTGTGCTTTGTGGATGGTGGATCCGATATGACTGGACTAATGTAGCAATGTTCCAATGCCGACAATAGCCCGACCGGCAGTTAAAAAAGATTAACGCGCTATCATGCATTGATAAAGTATAGATAAGAGTTAACTGATTAAAGCATGCCACTCCATCGGAGACCCGGTCCAGCTTACAAGCCGTCCCATTATCTAACCGGACACCTATAGCAGCGACACAACTGAGAGAAGTTGTTTCAAAAAACGAAAAATGACTTTTGGCTGTATCAACTATGATTTATATAGGTAATGATATAATCGCAGCTACTGTTTCTAAATTACCTAAAAACTAATTATTAAATACATTGGAAGCTGATGTATGAACGGCTGCTGTTGCAAGGTGCTGGCGTCGTCACGTGCTCTTGAGGAAGGTATCGGTATCTAACCCGTCTGCTCGAAATCACCCACCGATCAACTGACAAAGAGTTGCAGGCTTCTACATGAATGACATGAAAATAGTGAAACAGCATACGAATATATGCCTCTGTTCGGTCATCCAGGCTATTTTGAACATTTAATGATAACTGTGTTTTTATCCGTTTTTCTTACAACGAAACAGTAGTAACCGTAGCTCCCTTCTGCTTCGGCGTTGCACAAATAGTAGATGACTAATGAATAGTATATATCCGTTCAAGCAGTAGAGTTTAGGTTATGATGCAAATGTGCACAGTTCTGGGCAGAAGAAGCCCTTCTGGGGCTTGAGCCCCAGGTCAAGTTCACGACTCGGGTCGCCTCGACTTCAGTTGAATCGAAAACCATCTCATCATTGGTAGACCCGACAGCGGAACAAGCGGTAGTTGCAGTAGCCACTGCCACCGTCGCCGTCGTCGTAAATGTCGGTAGCAACCAGATGATCCGGTGGCTCTCGCTCGGCTGAATGGATGAAGCAGACAGTGGTCGTGGGTCAAGTCGGGTCAGAAGCCAATAGAAGCAGCGTCAATGGCAGCCCAACAAGTCACGTCATTCACGTCTACCTGCGGTTCCGAAATTAAGCAGACAGACAGTAATACAGCAGCCGACAGATAAGAGAAATAGCCCGCAACAAACAAGCACGCGTATAAGAGGCAACAGAAGATGCGACTTGCTTCCGGAGCAGCGCTGTTACTAAAAAAAGGACAAGAACGGACAGCAGTGAAAGAGAGATACAAATATTGTTGTAATCAATCTGGCGAGGTATGCACAACTGTCAAGGGATCAGCACAGAACGGAAGTCATACCATGCGCATGTATTATGGCACTGAAATTAAAAGAAAAAGATCAGGAAGTTTCATCGTGTTAGGTACCTCGTTGTTAAGAGAACGAACATTCGATATCCGGCAATGACATTTTAGGCTGTCCAGAGGTTGTTGTTGTTAGGCGCTTGTTAATAGGTTTCACCGGCTTTGTACCTAGGGACGTCCAGATATTGAGACAAGTATTACACGTCAGAATCTATCTGAGACTGGGCTGATTTACCTTTTTTTCTTCATTTGTTCCAGTTATGTCTCAGTGATCCGCTTAAATGAAGCTCTGCTTAGCGATCGACTCCTTCATTCGTTCAGGGAAGAATCGTTGCAGTGAGCTGAGCCGCAGACTTTACCAAATTGTTGTGAGCAACACATTGGTAAGCAGCATTGATCATACAGGTGAGTCCTGAAAAGCACAGAGAAATCGTAAATCTCATTCTAGCTCACGGTATCTGCAGGCCTTTTCATAGAAAAAGGCGACATTATGCCCGGGCCGGACTATATAACTCCAGTCCGCCAGAGCCGACCCACGAGACTGTGTTGCCGGCGCTTCACCGTTATATATCTTTTGTAATAGACACAGCAGTCGCAAAAACAAGAGCAGCTTTGATAGCAGCGCGTCATGAGCGTCGAAAGCGGCACAGGAAGGGACCATTGTGCAGCACTGTCGCATGCGCGTCTAAACGACACTTCACCCTTTTATGCATATATGATATCTAGTATCGTCGTAGGGATCTGAGGTAAATGCGAATGCCGAGAACCCGCCGCAAGATAACTAACGCAGCTCAATACTGTTGGTGTCTCCGTCGAATGTGGCGGGTACCTCACCGCAATTACGGGCGGGTCGGTGGTCCGGTCGGGCAGGGCCGCCGTACGCCATAATAGAGTGCTACTGAGTACCAAGGGCCGTCAGCGACTTCGATCTTCGATGAGGGAAGTAATATTGATGGGATGGCTTGCAAAACGGGATTTAGTTGCCATCTGGCGATAGATGGGGGGCATATATTATTGGAATATAGTAGCTGCAGAGACAGGGACAGTAGCGGCAACTGCGACGTCAAACGCCACAGAACAACAACAGCAACAACGTGATCGTCACTACAAACGGCGGAATCAACAGCAGGCAGTACTGCTATGTAAAAGGGGCGAACACCTGGAGCCTCGTCGCCAGCAGCAACACTTACGACCCCAACATCATCATCATCATTGCCATCAGCGTCACCAGCCCAAATGACAACACAACCAAGATCAGCAGCGGCAATGACAACAACAACAACAACAATCCGCTAGGCAGAAATTGGCTCCCAGAACAACACTTTGAACAGCAGCGACAGCTTACGCAGACGAAAGGAACCCAATGCGCGACTGATTTCGCGGCCAGGTCGGGCTGCCATTCGTGGCTACTAGTACATCGAATATAAAGTGCCTACGGAAAAGGCTGATGTTGTCTGACCGTCGGTCGATCGGTCGGTCGCTAGTTGACACTGCGGCTTGTCGCGCTGCCGTTGATCACGAAGCGACGGTGATAACAACGAATAAGGTCTTATTACGCAGCGGAACGTAGGAAAGGGGCTCCTAGAAAATATTGTGCATGTACTACTCTTGCCCCAGCGATTGAATTGGCTTGTTATTCCAGTCGCTGCCCTAGTGAGATACTAGCGTCATTTTCAGTGTACCGCATACGCTGTCATCGTCGTAGCTACGGTCGAAGCGATAGGTAATACAACCCGTCTGGTCACTGAAAGAAAGACTGCTATTGCTTAGTTTGTCGGTTAAGAGTGTTTCTTGCTTGTGGTGAGATGGTCGCAGTAGGTCGCTATTGATCGATGCAAGCAGAGAAAGCCAGTCGGATGCGGGGACTCTGGGGTAGTTGCGTCTATTAGTCGATTGACGCAGGATAGATCAGTGCCGCTGCCAGACGCGACGACAACGGGCACAGCGGTAGTGTGAGAGCGGCATCAGCACTAGTCAACCATTACGATAGCAATAACAGTAATAATAGAAGCAGCAGCAGCAGAAGCAGCGGTTGAACGCAAACAAGAAAGAAAGACGAAGTGGCCGACCTTTATATGAGCTTCAGAGTGAAGACACGAACGGAACTTCGGAAGGAAGTTGAACTTCTTTTTTTTTTTGTCATTACTTCTCGTTCGTGCCGCCTGTTTTGCTTTAGGCTAGATGCTAAAAGACGCTAGTAGTCGACCATAACGGCAAATTATGCATCGCCTCCGTCGCAATTTAAATGTGTACGTTTGTATCGGCTTTGGTATCCTGCCACTGCTAGAGATACTATATTTACTATTGTAATCATCATCAGCATCGTCGTTCTCATTAGCATGTTTAACATAACACGACGTCCTTATTACATACATGATATATATATATATACATTGGCTGCTGGTATTCTTTGTTTAACAAAAGATTTGTTTTTATTTTATCTTTCGGGCGGCCTTTTGAGCGAATTTGCTTTAAGGGTGTTTATCTTTTTCGAAGTAGCGGACAATTCGACAAATTGAAGCTCTATGAGGAAACATAGTTTATATTTTCGTCATACCTAAGATTAATGTTTTGATCATCGAAGGTGATTACCAAAGGTCGAAAAGTTCATATCGTATTGAAGTTCGTTCTTAGTTCCAATTTTTAGTTCTTAACGATCTGTGCGACAACAGAAGAGGCCGACGCTTACGGCAAGCATTTATAGCTAAAAAATCCATTGTGTGAATGTATAAAAACAAAAATCTATCAGCTCAAGTCCAACCCGGTATTATTGTTATTATGTTAGGAAATACAAAGCCGCAAATCTTGGAGCCGCAAATCTATGACGGAGAGAAATCGTTTTTTTCGGCCAGTGACGAGTAAACAGACCTTTATTAATGCCAATAAAGAGAAAGGAAAACACTGAAATGAGCTTGCATCAGGTGCGTCCGATGGTATCAGGCTTCTTTTACGCACGCATTGTATTCCATAGGTAAAATAATTATCACAATAACTTAACATGTACTTTAACAAAAAAAAATACAGTATCTTCTATCGTTGGTAGTTTTATTTCCGAGTAATATTACTGAGATAAATTTTTTTCATAATAATATAAATAATAATAAAGTCTATGCATCCATTTTATTTTCTTTAATATACACAAACGTTCCTTGTTCGCTATCCAAACGCTCAGTTTGTTGGATACGCTAAATCTCGTGGGAGGACAAGCGGATAATAACAAACCAATAGATTCCATGTTCATATCGAAGCGTAGATATATTGTGTAACACTACTTATCGTTTTTGCCTATCTCACATCAAGAACTTACAATAAAAAAAAAACAAAAAATTGTCATATACAGATTATAATTTAATGTTATTTACAGCTTTTTTCATTAGAGTACCTTAATGGCGCCAGCCATAAATACATGGCACACTTTACAGAACGTCTAAATAACGTTATTAAGTGCGCACAGTTTGTTATCTCGACGGATTCGTCTCGTTCTCGTTGACTCACTTTTTATCTCACTGCGCTAAATAATCGTTACGTGGCATCAGCATCACGTCTACTAGCTTTCTCAAGGCACGCCACCGAACACGTCGTTCATCTGTAACATCTATTCTGGATATATATATATTAAAATTAATAGGATAAATATCTCACCGAAAGACGAAAAGCTAAACAAAAACTCATTACATTTCTCCCCCTTGTAAGGGAAAAAGTCCCAGTTTCACCTTCACGCATCGAACGATAAGGCTGTGTCTATCTGGCATCAAATACGCAGCGTGGCGGAAGGCCGACCGACCAAAGGGTTCAGCTCAACAGTGACGCAGTCGTATGAAGGCGCGCGACAAAGAACAGTGGTCACCTACTTACAACGGCAGTGGCAGCGGCGGCGGCGGCAGCAGAATCAATATCATCACTCCAGGCTATTGGGTGTTGCCGGCTGTGTCCTTATGGAAGAGCGGCGCTCCCTGTCAGCTGTTGCTGTTCGGGCAAAGTAGGGGTCTGTCGGGGAGCTGCCAAAGTCCAGTTGGGGGGTCTGCGGTAAGGGGCAAGGTAGCGGAGGAAAAGGTAGGGTGGGAATGAACCGGCAAGGACACTGCACATTGGCATCGACCAGCCGCTCATCGATGTGCTGCGCTTCGTCGTCCATCCATGATGGTGCGAATGGGCAGGGCCGTGGGGGCGATTTCATCTATAGAGCAATAGCAAAAGCAAGCGCCCCACAGCGCTCGTGCCACCATTGCGAATCCCTTCGAAATGAACCAAAAACGACGGGGACGATAACAACGACTACGGAAAAAGCGAACGCGAGGACGAAAGTAGCAGCAGCAATAACAACAACAACAGATGGCGATGTTCATCACCGTTATTATTATTGTTGTCGTCGTTATTATCATTGTTGTTGCTGCTGCTGTTTTGGACGTCTTCGTTGTTAATATTATTATTTCGTATTTTCTTGCGCGAACGCGTCGCGCTCTGATTGGCATTGTCCAGATTGCATCACCGCCAGCATCAGGATAGCAATGGCCACCGCCGTCGACCCAGTGCTGTAGCACTGATCGCCACTGGTGATGATGGTGCTAGTGGCGGAGGAGATCAAGCATCGACGGGATCGAGAATCGAGGGGCAGCATCTTGGACGTCGAACAGTGGCGGGCGGGAGGTGAGGGGGGACCCTGCTGCCTCCCGGTATTACACATATTACCTAGATTAGTAGGTAAATCGAAAGATAGATACATGGTCACATAGATGAACAAAATAGCCAGCTACACTTTAGCAAAACTTTCCGTCTTTGCCCAGCCCTGAGAGCAACAGTAACAGCCAACATCAGTAGACAAAAGCGGGCACATACACACGCACAAACTCATTCATACAGACATCATAAACACGAAAAAAAAAACAGCGGTAACGTGCACCAGCACCTGTCTGCCTATGCAGTCACACGCAGCCAAATGTAAGATACAAAGACGGCAACGGCAACAGCTATGGCCGTTGCGTCAATGACGACGAAGAACTGCAACGTAAACAGCGGCAACAATAACATTAACGTCGTGGCAGGCACGCGGTTGCCGGTGCTGGTTGGTAGAAACTACGAACATAGACAGATAAGCAGACAGAGCTGAATCTGTCTGCAATCAATATATAAGAATAATGGCGGTAACAACGAAAAAACGTGAGAAAATATCACTAGTCAATTCGGGTGGCCACTGCTCAGCTACGGGGCAAGTTATAACAACAGCCTATACAGCTCGTGCAAAATCGAAAGCGTTAACTCGTTAAGCGCCAACAGCTGTACGCTGTTTGTCTTCGGCATGTTCACCGTCACTCTATAGTTGTTGTCAACAATAGCTGCTCGCCAGATAGCCAGTGTCGTCTGAGTCATGTACTATAACCAATATGGCCGTTACTAGAGGAGTTATGTTCTGAT